GGGTGTGGGTGTGGGTGTGGATGTGAGGAAGAGATGCACTGCAATCGCACCCACACCCCACACCCACACCCACCCACACCCCAATCAGCTGATTTTGTTCCATTTAATTGCAAGGACAGCTAACCACAAACAGTGAATCATACAGATAATTAAACGATCAATCGATTGTTTCGATAATCGACATTCCTAGCTTCGCACCGCATTTCGTGTTCGAGGCAAACTTGAATACTATCTAGTTAAGGTGCGAAGCACCTATATAGTGGCTCGTCGAGAGTTTTCTTTATTTCTTTATTTATATCTAGTTATACGTACACATCAAATTTGTGATTTTGTGTCACACTGATTTTGAGAACCAAAAGTCAGAAAATCTTCGTTCAACCGTGAGATGAAAGCGTCGAGATCGAATTGAGAACTCTCTTTTTTCAATTTTCCTTATGATGTGTGGTTCGCATGTATATAGTGTCCAAAAAAGATAAATTTTTGAGGATTTTAATTTTTTACAAGCTTCAAGATAATTAAAAGAGAAGTTAGGCGCCACTCTCTCTTTGCTTACACATGAAACAGCTGTAAGTGTAGCTGATGACCGGTAATGAATCATATCGATAATTAAACGATCAATCGATAATATTCTTTAAAGGAATGTTGACAGGCTTTCAGAGAGTTCTCACAGTGATGAATTCTACAATTGTTACTTTTCAGCTCATGTCAGATTTTGACTACCTGATTGATAGAAATTCAAATTTTTCCAGTTACAACGATGGACAAAAATTCCTGCTTTCGATGGAACAGAAACAAATTTAAGAAAAATACAATTCGAGTTTGACTCTTGAATCAATTTTATCATTTTTTTCAGAAACTCGATTATTTCACATAGTCGATATTCGTGCTTCGCATCTTATCTCGTTTTAGACCAGGTACAGTCACTAATAGTATGATTTGTCAGCCTCAATCCGATTATAAATCATCTCTGTTGATATTTCACTCATACAATAATATAGCTCAAGTGACACAATGAAAAGTGTTACTGCAAATCATAAGTAGGTGTGCACCAGTGCCACTAACTGGGTCCCAGTCCGACTGGGTACTTAGTCATTTGACGTTTATTTCGCTAATCTGTCGGTACTTCCCTCTTTTCTAAGGGTGTGAGTCTGGAGGTTGGTTTGACGTTGGTATGGGTGTCGTTATTGCCATTCTAACTATTCCCGCATCCAAACAACATCCACACCCATATCCATCCAAACAACACTCACATCCACAAGCCACCCACGCACATCTACACCCTAGCCATACCCACACCCTGAAAACATGAAATTCATTTACAGTATTCTAAATTATAACGATTGATATATAGAAATA